TATATATATATATATATAATTTACCTTTAATTTATTTATATTTTTCAATTCCCTGCCAATTTTTCAGTTAGTTGGCCACATTTCTAAGTTTAGTATTTAAATTTTATTTAATTTTAGCTTTATGTCAATTAATGAAAAATATTTTGAATAGGTTTAGTTTTGGTTAGCAGTAACACGACTGGTGCTCGACTCTGAAATATTTCTTTGCCTAGAAATTTATCTTTGACAGTACATTATCGATGAAATTATATTAAAAAAAAAATATTTTATTAGTAAGTTGGTTATCAAAAATGACAGAAAAGTGGAAATTAATTAGTCGAAAAGTGTGGGAACTCTTGAAGTCATTTTCCTCTGACAATCATACAGCGTTTAGGGCTCATTATGCAAAACCAATCAGGATCAAGGATTAATCACACTAAAACTGATCACTGTATATAGCAGTCATTCTTGTAAACTTATTCACTTTAATGTTTTGACTGTTTTCAGATTTCATAGTGTCATGGTATCCGAATAAATCTGGTTCTGACAGATTTTCTCTGTATGACTCTCTTCTGTTAACTCTATGTAGGTCATTCAGGAAGTAAGTAACTTGGCAAACAGCATTAATGGAAAAGAGAGTTCATCCTCTCCAATGATACTGCGAAAACTAGAGCTGGATAAGGTAAGGCTGAACAGTTTACTAGCATCCTGTAGCCCAGAGTACACTAAACGGCTAACCTATACTGATTACGATGTTGACATGAACATAACCAGCGTGGTGATCCCTATAATTGCTCTGTCTGTTTCTTGGTCATTGCAGATGATGTTACCAGATAAACATACTTCTGATTCTGACAGCGCAGCCAATGGAGACGTCACCCGTGAGATCTGTGAGAACGGTATGGACACAATCGATCAGCTTCTTTGCTTAGCGCATGCTTTTGGGGTCAGAGTCGGTTTTCCAGGTGTAGAGCGTTTCCTCTTGTTAGTTCTGTGATCTGATGTCACGCTGAAACAATGGCATTAGGAGCTCAGGAAGGATGTAGCTGCTCTGTTGTTTTTGATGAGGTTAAAGTTTGTTCCTTTTGGTATGTCACATCCTTCTTTTCTCTTTTTTTTAGGTTTTGTATTGGCATGCACATTATATTGGTAATTTTGTGTCATATCAGCCGATGTTAGAAATTGTTTTTATTTATCATTATTGGACAAATATTGAAACTGTATCTGTGCATGCCATGTCATCGAAAACTCACTTGAAGTTAATAACATTAATAATTCATTAAAACTGTTAAATGTTATTTTTTAGCAAATCTCAAAATGATTATACATTTTTCATACTGTATATTATGGTGATGCCTAAATTCAGTAGCATTTAAATAAATTGATTTATATATTTTATTTTTATTTATACAAAATAGTATCAAATTTTAATATCAGCCATTTACTAGTTTTCATCTAAAACATAAAAATAGTTATCAGTTTATTGGTATCATCTAGATTTTTAATAGTGTGTACCCCTAGTTTTGTTAAGTTCAAAAAATGAAATGAAAAAAAAAAAAGGTTTTATTAGCAACTTAGTATTTGTAAATGATAGAAAAAGTCATGGAAACTGATTCACATCAAAAAGCGCGGAAACGTTTTTTTGATCCCTAAATTCACTTGTAACATTTCAAATGATTGATTTTATTGTTTTAATAATGTTTTAATGTTTAATAACGACTTATTTGGACAAAATAGTATAGAATTAACCATTCAGCCATTTATCGGTTATCAGCCAACACATTAAAATAATTATAGGCTTATTGGTATCATCCAAAGGTTTTTTTTAATTATTTAATTTTAAAATTTGTAAAAATTCTGGATTTCAATAGCGCACATCCCTAGTTTCGTCAAATTCACTTTTCAAGTGTTTCAGATGGATCTTGATTTAAACTATGCGTAAAAACACGTAAACACTCATTGCCACAAGAAAAAGCTATAGACGTAAAGGGATAGTTCACCCAAAAATGAAAATTTGATGTTTATCTGCTTACCCCCAGGGCATCCAAGATGTAGGTGACTTTGTTTCTTCAGTAGAACACAAACAAAGATTTTTAACACAAACCGTTGCAGTCTGTCAGTCTTATAATGGAGGTGGTTGGGAATCATGGCTTTGAGAGTTAAAAAAAACATACACAAACAAAACCAAATGAAACCCTGCGGCTCGTGACGATACATTGATGTGTAAAGACACAAAACGATCGGTCTGTGCAAGAAACTGAACAGTATTTATATATTTTTTTACCTCTGATTCACGCAGTGTCCAAACTGTTCAAACTGTCCTGAGCGCGTTCTCAACAGTAGGTGGCCTACATCTTGGATGCCCTGGGGGTTAGCAGATAAACATCAGATTTTCATTTTTGGGTGAACTATCCCTTTAAGTATGCTGTTTTTTCCTTAACATTGCAAACAAAGGAAGTCAACGGCATCTTCGTTAATAGAATCCAAACATTTGTTTCGTGTCTTGTCCTTGCACTTTATACATCCTCTTATAATGCTTCCTGTGCTTCTTCCTGTAGGGAAGGGCAAAAAAGGGACATTCTCTGAGCTGACTGGATCTATGAGTCGAGCCGCTGGCAGGAGAATCAACCGCATCATCAGTTTCTCCAAGAAAAAGCCGCCCCTGCCAGGCGAAACCAGCACGCTTTCCCACCTGGATGACAATCCCCGTTGTGGTGAGGGGACATAAATCCACTTTCCCTCCACTGTTGATCTTTTTCATCTTTTGAGATGTTCCTTCAAGTCTCTGATAGTTTCTTATTTTTTGCTAGGTTACTTGAATGTCCTGGTCAACCAGTGTTGGAAGGAGCGCTGGTGTTGTGTGAGAAATGGGACTCTGTATCTCCATAAGGACAGAGGGGACATTCACACCCATGTTAGTGCATTAGCCCTCAATGGTGTAGACGTCTTACCCGGTCTTGGACCCAAACATCCTTTTGCCTTCCGCATCATGCGAGCGAGCACAGAAATAGCCGCCCTGGAGGTAATAAAATGGATCTTTGTTACATTGTGAGATTTCATTTCATTAAAAAAGGTGTGATTTTGTAATACAATCAACCTCAGGCGAGCTGTTCTGTGGAGATGGGCCGCTGGCTGGGGGTTTTGTTGGCTGAAGCAGGCAGCGCTACCACCCCTGAGGCATTGCATTATGACTATGTGGATGTGGACACCATCAGCAGCATCCAGAGCGCAGCACGACACTCTTTTCTGTGAGTAGAGATGAGGATATTTAGCTTGTTCCAGTTTGGATGTGTAAAGACGTTCACTCAGATTTGTAGTATTTTCATGATAATTCTTGTTTTATTACATTTTTATGCCATAGGTGGGCAACCTCCTCTAGCAGCACCTCCACAGATCCACGGACTTACGACGAAGTTCCCCATGAAAGCGTGTTGGTAAGGTGTTCAGTTAAAAATGCATCACATTTTTTGGTAACACTTTAGTATAGGGACCAATTCTCACTTTTAACTAGTTGCTTATTAGCATGCCTATTATTAGCATACTGGCTGTTTATTAATACTTATAAATCACATATTCTGCATGAGCATATTCTACATTCCTAATCCTAACCAATACCTAAACTTAACAACTACCTTACTAACTATTAATAAGCAGCAAATTAGGAGTTTATTGAGGCAAAAGTCATAGTTAATGTTGCGTTAATAGCGAGAAATGGACCTTCAAATAAAGTGTGACCATTTTTTTTTTTGGGGGGGGGGGAGGTAAAAATTATTTTGTGGTGTTTTGTAAAATCATACCCCTCAGCAACAGTAAAGACTATTCTATTTCAAATAGATGCTGTATATTTGAGATTTTTATTTATATAAAAATCCTGAAAAAATTATCACTGTTTTCACAAAATTAAGCAGCGGCATTAATAATAATAAGAAGAACATGAAGGATCATGTTACACTGAAGACTGGAGTAAAATGTCTGCTGAAAATTCAGTGTTGCTATTACAACAAATTACATTTTAAAATATATTCAGATAGATATTAAAGTTATTTGCAATAACTTTTCACAATATTGTTGTTTTTACTGTATTTTATCAAATAAATGCCTTGATGAGCATGAGACTTCATTTCAAAATATTAAAAAATTTTATTGACCCAAACATTTGAACGATAGTGTACATTCTTGGCATTCATGATCTAAGAGTATTATAAAAACTGGCATTATATGACATTTGAAAAGAACGTTTCAGCCCATTTGGGTGTTGTTTCTGGACTTAGCCATGATTAACCACAGTTCTCTCAAAGTTTTAGTGAATTTTTGAATTATCCTGAAAGGCAGCAACAAACATGTCTTGCTGTTTTATTCTCTGCTTTACTTCCTAAAATATTTTTGTAGCACCATTACTTTCTTTGTTGGGAGGTTAAGTTGTGCAGCTGATTTTGTTATGTCTAGTCAGCTACAAATGTTCTGTCATTGCAAGCATGTTCCTTTATAAAAGGGAACTTTTCAGGAAATCCTTATATAAGCACATTGTGTAATGCTGACGTAAATACTATCATACTGGAAGGCAAGAATGTTGGATGTTTACAGAAAGCATTGTGTTTGTGTTTCCACACAAACTGTAATTACTCCTAATTTCTTTCCCTCTACTCTGTCTCTCTTCCACCCGCAGGTAGATGAAAATCAGTCTAAACTGAAGCGTTATTCCTCTATGTCCAGTATGGACACAGCCAAGGGTGACACACAGATCACAGTGAAACGACACGGTTCCTGTAAGTTGTTTCCACTGGAAAATCAGTCTATATATACACACATATATATATATATATATATATATATATATATATATATATATATATGTCATAGCTTTACTGATTATATTCTTATAAGTTGCCATTTATGACCAATTCTGTCTTGTGTTTGTGTTGTAGCTGTGAATCACTACGGTAAATATGGAAAGACGAGGGCAGAAGAAGATGCACGGCGGTATCTCAATGAGAAAGAGCAGCTCGAGAAAGAAAAAGAAGCAATCAGGAAGAGTCTGCTGTCACTGCGCTCAGAAAAGAGGGTGGTGAAGGAAGAGCTGAAAAAGGCGACTGGTGAGAGAATTGACTTGTTTGAGTGCTATTTAATAACATGCAAGGTGGTTTGTCACACTTTTTGCAGTATTTGGCGCCACCTGCTGACAATATCCTCAGTAATGGGAGCTGTTCATTTGATGTGATATGTTTTGTACATGTGTGCATCAGATAAACAACAGAAAGCCATGGAGCAGCATCTGGCCCAGCTGGAGGAAAGCTGCTGTCAGAAAGAAGCTGAGCGAGTGGACCTGGAGCTGCGACTTACGGAGGTGAAGGACAAACTGAAGAAGTCTCTGACTGGAGGAATGCTGGGGGCGCCTGTGGAAGGCAAACCCACCATTAAGGTACCTGCATTCTAGACTCTTAATATGCTTTTCCCTCATATGAACCTGATTTTACAATGAAATTCATTCGTATCTTAATACCTGTAGGTTCCAGGCAAAAACAAAGAAGATATTTACAATGGTGCCACTGTGCCGGTCAATTGTGCTTCTGAAATGAAGAAACGCCCCCCGTCGATATATGCATCCACCAAAGGAAATGTCATGCAGAAAGCCAAGGTATACGGTTGCATAAATATTCAATGAAATATTCAAAACCAGTGTTTGGTGTAATGCATTAACAAGTAACGCAAGTTATGTAATCAGATTACTTTTTTTCAAGTAACTAGTAAAGTAATGCGTTTACAAAAAAATATTTGAGTTACTTTTTCAAATGAGTAACACCGGTTACTCTGTTTTCCCATTTATTGACTGACAGCTCTCCTGTCCCCATGTTGAGAGAAATAGGGAGTAAGTGCAGAGGCGTGTTTAAAATGTTTAAAATGTGAACATGCATTTACTCATCTCACTTGCACATGAAAACTCAGAATATGATGTGAACCTGCACTAATTAAATATGTTAAATTACAAATATCCTTTATGTATTTAATCCCATTTTTATTAACCAGTGTCTTTGCTACTGACCTTATATGATCCAAATCAACCATAATAATAAGCAAAAATGACTTTAGAAAAATATTGTTTCATTATTTCCTTTTTTTAATTGCTGAAGAGTGTTGTACTTTCTTCTCCTGCATCCTATTCTTCATGCAATTCAGAATAGCAGCACAGCTGAAAGATTTGTTTGAGCGGCGCCCTCTACTTACAAATGTGAAGTTACATTTCGTTCAGCCCGAGGCCTATTCGTTTCACTTTTAGTGCAAAAGGGATTTTACATTTGCCAAAAATATCACCTTTTATATTAAAATCAAACAAGTAGGCCAGCCCAGATGAGAAAAAGTTAGTAACGTAGCGCATTACTTTCCAAGTAACTAAGTATCGCATTTCGTTTTAGGGAGTAATGCATTACTTTTAAAAGTAACTTTCCCCAACACTGTTTTAGAACTTATGGTGATGATTGAGATTTATAAATGTGATAATATCTGTTGTATTCTGTTCTTATGTGTTATTTTAATCTTTTTTTGTTCTGTTTTATTTTTTTTATTAGGAATGGGAGTCAAAGAAAGTGAAGTAATTATAACATTGTCATCAGAGGAGTCTGAGGATCTGTGGCTTTGGTTGGAGTGTTAAAGGAATAGTACACCCAAGAATAAAAATATGCTAAACTTTTACTCTCAGACCATCCAAGACGTAGATGAGTTTGTTTCTTGATCATAACAAATTTGAGGAAATGTAGCTTTACATCACTTGCTCACCAATGGATCCTTTGCAGTGAATGGGTGCCGTCAGAATGAGAGTTTCAACAGCTAATAAAAACATCACAATAATCCACAAGTAATTCACACGACTCCAGTCCATCAATTAACATCATGAGTACACAAGGGCATGAGTCCATTTTCAGCAGTTTTTATTTTTGGTTACACTATTCCTTTTTAAGCAAAGAAGAGATTGCATCTGTGATCATCCTGTCTGTCCACTACACTGCACTTATGCACGGGACAGTTGACCGTATTTGAAGGTAGTCTGTAAATAAAAATTAATGTTAAATAAAAAAACTGCATGAAGATGGCAAGGATAAGGGAATGTTCAGGAAACAAAAGTGTTTTATAAACACCTATTTGTTTAATACAAGAGTTAAAATAGGTGCCTGAATTATATGAAAATTGTGTTTTGTTTTGTCTTTTCACATCTTACTGTATAACACCACAGGATACTTATGTGGCCTTCCTGCTGACTTCTTTGTGCTGTTTTGAGATAAAGTGTTAATGTCTCTAGCTGCGTCCCTATGCACTTATACACTATGTACTTATGCACTATGTACTCAACCATGTAGTGTATGAATTATATAAGGTTATTTTGTCATTCATAAACGGAGTCTGATAGCCCCTCCCCCTTCACTACGTAATTAAAGCTGCGACAGGTAAGTGCATGTAGTGTTCAACATTCCACACTTCGTTTTTTCGGTTATTTAAGTGCATCATCCGGGTATTTAAAGTGCACTTTTTCTTTTTGGAATTTTCAGTGTGAACACACTACTCACACTATTTATACTACAAAATAGTGCACAAGTACGCGACCAAGTACACCAAGTTTGGAACGCACCTTCTCTCTTTTACATGTTATGTGAAACTGAACTGCATTCAAAGGATTTTCCCTTTTGTTAACACTAGGGCACTTAATTTACCAGATTTTATTTATTTCTATTTTGTACATAAAACCAGTCTAAAGAAAATAATCATTGTTTTTTCTTTGCAACATCTAGGTAATTGTTCGTAATAAAAAGTGTGTTCAAAATGGCTTTGTTGGAGTTCTGTTTATTTAAACAAATGTTTTTTTTTTTCCAATTTAATTGTGAATTACACTGTAATAATGTCAACTAAAATGGGCTTTGCTTCTAAAAACTGAACTGGGGAAAAAGACATCGAGTTACCAGCATTTATGTAATATATAATCATCAATAATATATCAAGCAGATCTAGGGTATTCAACAGGGGGTCCATAGACCCCTATGGGTTCATGCAGGGGGGAGTTTTCATTAAAAAACTAAAATAATTCACATATTTATTTCTCAACATGAATAATGTTAAGTATTGATTTCCTTTTTTTATTTCTTTCTTTTTTTTGTTAATGTTAGTAATTCTTTTTATACAAATAAAATTAAGCTTTATATTAGGGGGTCTTTAAGCAGGCTGGGAGTCTAGGTGGGTGGTCCTTGCCTGAGGCACAAAAGCTTTACAGCCCCCTGAAACAGATTATCGTGTTTACTAAAACGTTCAATCAGTAAAATACAGTACAGAAGAACAAAAACACCCGTCTGAACTGATGGTTTTATAATGAAAAGTACATTCGCAGTATATGCAGGATTTTAATTCTTTGCAGAAGCAGGAAGGCGAGATTCAGAGTCGTTTTAGTGCATCGACTCAGTGATTCTAAACAGTGACTCGTCGAGCAGGTCACGCGCTCCCGACCACACAAGAAGCTACTGAGGAAATGGCCGTGCGCTTTCTGTCCGTAACGAGAAGATATCCCATCGATTTGTGCAGGTTAACACCAAGTGCAGTCAACAGGTAAAGCCGGAATAAAGCGTAATATTCAGACAAATGTGCTAATAACACTAGAAAAACAGGGTTTTGTTAACAGTGTCGCCATTTTAACCGTTTATAGTGTTGTGGGGTTAGCGTCGCTGCTAACTGGCTAACGAGCGAGTTAACGTTAACGGTTTAGCGCAGGGCTGCCCAAACTCGGTCCTGGAGGGCCGGTGTCCTGTAGAGTTTAGCTCCAACTTGCCTCAACACACCTGCTTTTAAGTTTCTAGTATGCCTAGTAAGAGCTTGATTAGCTGGTTCAGGTGTGTTTAATTGGGGTTGGAGCTAAACTCTTCAGGACACTGGCCGTCTAGGACCGAGTTTGGACAGCCCTGGTTTAGCGGGACTCAAACCGCAATCTAACCAATAAATACAACCCAGACGAGTTTAAATTTGGTCAGAAACGACGAACACGTAGACCGTGGGTCGTTTGGTAGTTTATATCGTGTTTAAAATTGTTTAGCAAGATTGTCCATCAATCACGTCTGTCAGCTTTATAATATCACATCTGTGTTTTGCTTTAACGTTATGTCTTTTCTTAGTTACGGGCTATTGAATGTAACAATACTATTACAACCTGTATTAAAACAGTATCAGATATCATAGTAAGTACATTGGCAAGCACTCTGGTGGGTTTTCTTCTATTTAAGGGGTTGTTTAGTGTTTTCAAAACTTTACTTTCCGTTGTTTAACTCATCAATCCTACGGCTCATTTACTTTCACAACTATACAAGTTAAACTGACTAAACGTGTAATTATTCGTGATGATGAATGGCTTTTATTGCATTCCTGTGGATTCTTTGTTCGCGGCACATACCGATGTAAACGGGTCAAATGAACCCTCCTATTGTCCCAAGAAACTGCAGCCATCTGTGAGTTTGGATCAAATTGAACCCACATTGAATTTATTCATTAATCAAATGATTTATCTATTTAATATTTAAATTTATTAACACTTTTTGTGTAAAATATAATGTGTGTGGCCGCACATGACAAGATGATATGGCCACAAAATCCCATGATTTAGTAATTTGTTTGCTTGTTTTAGGTAAATTGTGAACGTGCTAATTCATTCCCTTTTTTATTTAAGTTGCGGTTATGATAAAACTAAAACGAGGCTGCAAATTATTATATGCCGAACAATTTGTGGTGGCATTACAAGACAAGTACTGTAGTGTTTTAGGGGGAAAAAATGATCCAAGTGGCTTTTTGGCTTGATCGGCCTTTACATCTATTGAATCCTACCATAAAGAACAGCAAATGTGAAGTACTAAAGCTTTGAAAATATAAAAATATTTTGGGATCAAATCAGATTTTTTTTGTACTGGTTTCATGTAATATTAATTTGTCAATCAGATATTTTTAAGCAGTAAATGTTATAAAGAAACGTGTTACACGATCATTGTAGCATTATGCTCAGCACAAAGCTAAATACCACAATCCTGTAAATAGTTAATCAAATAAATAAACAAAATAAAAGTTGCTCACCTTCAGGCCATCCAAGATCTAGATGAGGTTGTTTCTTCATCAGAACAGATTTGGAGAAATTTAACATCAATTTTAGCATTTTAGTTTACCACTAGCTCACCAATAGATCCTCTGCAGTGAATGGGTGCTGTCAGAATGAGAGTCCAGACAGCTGATAAGAATAGGGATGCACCGAAATGAAAATTCTTGGCCGAATACCGAACACGGTTTTTCACATTTTTCCCCCATGTAGGCCTATTTTGCCTTTTTTTTTTTTCACCATTGCATGAATTAAATTGCCAAAATGTGCTTTTTACTGTTTTGTCCTGCTTTTCAAATAAAAAAATAAATTACAAAACAACCATTTAAAAATATTTACTTAACACTGAACCATTTTTTTTACATTCTAGCAGACATTATACCAACAAAGCACAATTTAACTTAAAATGAAGAAGTTGCTGAGCAGAAAAGATTTATTTGAAAACATTAGAATATATTACAGATCCCAATTTGAACACTGTGTGAAATTAATTAAATTGCCAAAATGTGCTTTTTACTGTTTTGTCCTGCTTTTCAAATAAAAAAATAAATTACAAAACAACCATTTAAAAATATTTACTTAACACTGAACCATTTTTTTTACATTCTAGCAGACATTATACCAACAAAGCACAATTTAACTTAAAATGAATAAGTTGCTGAGCAGAAAAGATTTCTTTTAAAACATTAGAATATATTACAGATCCCAATTTGAACACTGTGTGAATGTTATAATAAATGTATTAATAGAGCTGTTGAAGGGTTAAAGTCTTAAAATGTCTTAAATTCGGATTCGATGGGTCTTAAATTATTTTGGTCTCATTACCGTTAAAATATCTTCAGTCAGACGGACCTAATGACTTTACAATCATTGGACAGACCGAAGATGTTTTCTTCCTCGCGGTAAGTTACTGCATCATCACAGAGAATTGCAGCAAGTTAGCAGAATGCAGAATACAAGCTCGCGCTGAAGCTCACTCTGTTTGTCTCGAGACTTCAGAACAAATGAGCGTGATAGCACACATAAACTCAGAAGAAACACACGGAGGTAAAAATTAAAAATGTTTAGTTTATTCATAACATGATATAGTTAAATAACACCATGACAAGTGAGCTATTTTGCTGAATATTCT